AAACCACTATTTTGGACTAAAACCCAGAGCAGATTTACTACCTCTCTAACAGGAAAGCCAACAGATACCTCTGGATCTATATATCTGGACAAACATGCCAGTACTCACAAAAACATATGCCAAATAAAACCTATTAAAGTGCCACAAGACTCATTGTTGTTTTTACTACAACATGATAGCCAACACCTCCAAAACAGATGATTCTACTGTTGAACAGTTCTTACCATGGGGAAGTTCTTCCAAATCTCTTTTTTTGCAATTTGAATCCATTGATATAGGTCCTACCCTTTGGAGCAGCAGTAAACAAGCTCACTCCATCATCTCCATGACAGCCCTTCAGATATTTAAAGAAAACTATGATTATCTCTTCTCCATCTTCTCTTCTCCAGGCTAGTTGTTTAGTTCTGCTTTAATATTACCACTTTTTCTCTGTTTTTATCTGTACAAGCTTTTACCTGTACTGTTTTTAATTTTCCTGTGAGACCTCTTTGGTTTCAGTAGGCTCTTTTTATGTTCTTGAGCATCACCTGGATTCTCCAGCATACACTCTTCCAGTCCCCTTTGGGTAGATGACTGCAAATAATGAGCATTTCCAGCTAAATCACACATATTTTATTGTTACTGGTGTTGATAAGGATAGTGAAGTAGCAGCTGTGTCAGTTATGCCATGTTACTGGGGTTGAAAATCCACTCTAAGTTATAGTCTGAAGCTCTTGTAATAAGAAGCCCCTTATGATGTTATGGACTTGTACAGAAAATGTTGTTGCAATAATAGTATCAGACATATTAAGGTATAGTTATGTAAACTATAGTTATGAGAGTCAGCATGGTGTAGTGGTTTGAGCACTGGACTCTGACTGGATATCAGGGTTTGATTCCCTGCTCAAGCATAAAAACCCACTGAATGAACCTGAGCAAGCCACATCCTCTCAGCCTCAGATGACAGCAATGACAAACACTTTCTGCAGAAACTTGCCAAGAAAACACTATGATAGGTGGT